TCATATTCAGTAACAATCAACGAAACTTTTTCTATGGGGAACACGCACTGATCACAGCAATGATAGGGCTCACTAAAGTACGCTCCTTGGAGAGCGAATTTCCGGGTACGAGAAAACTTTCCACTAAGCCTCTTAGATTTACCATCCTTTCCGTCTTTTCCTCCCTAAAAGCAGTCCATCTGAACTTTCGTCCTTCAAATGGGACCCTGCAAGGCGTGTCCCTTTCGTCCCGACGAGGACATCATTAGTTATCTCATTATGTTTCATCAATTAGCCGGTGAACTCAATTTCCTCGGCATTGTTAAGTCATCTCTCCTGAAGACACTGTTAACTTCCCTTTCAGCTTGTTGTTGCCGTAGTCAACACCTGTGTTTATCGACAATTTTAGAAAACTTGCTGGAAAAACATCAGAGCCGCATCGCGAGAGCAATATCTTTGGCGTGATGAAACGAATCGCAGTTTACCTTGGTCCGCGCTTGCCAATCCGACGCTGTCTTAGTCTGCCTATGGACTGCACGCTGATAAACCGCCACGAATTAATTTACTCTTTCATACGTAATTTACCGAGAAACGGGGCTTGCTTGCCATTTAGCATAAAAAACAGTTTTGGTTTTAGTTCGGACATTAGTGGCCGACCGATTATGAGAAATACTACCATTTTACGTATGTCTTTTTCCGGCCACGACTCGGTATTTAGTGTAAAACCCACATGATCACCTTTATTGCCTAAATGGCTTCTAGAAGATATCAATGAAGCACGCGAGGTTTTCTATCAAGAAAAAATGGTGCTTAATAAAAGATATTTGTGTTCGTTATTTCCAAGTGAAATAAAATGCTCTCCGGAAACTTACTCGTTTTTTAAGGGTCTGAATAGTTCACAGGTGGCATGGTCTCTCCACAAGTCATCTTTTCCTCCAAACACGAGAATGAAGTCACCACATCGGGCAGCGGAACACTCAGTCCGGACATAAGTCATGGGGGCAGCGGGTTTAATTCTTCCGGTTGGCACATCAAAAATCATTACCTTGTTAGACGCACGTGGTTTGTAACCACCAATAACTACTACCTTGTCTAGCAAGTCAAAATATAATAGCATTTATTGACAATTTACCTCTAAAGGCCACTGCCGTTGCGTATTTCCGACCCATTGTTTTACAGATAACCTTATTCTCTCTCGGTTTACTCACATCATGGACGGCGAATGTGTATTCCGGTTCATCGAGGAGACTGTCAAGTCCAACCAAAAGACTTATTTTCTCATTATAGCATCTGGCTTTCTGGTTGAACGGACAGGAAATAGGACGATCGTTTGCATCCCCGCACCAAGGCCTGACTTCCCTCAGATAGTCGCTGAAAAAGACAATGTCTAAGTTCAATTGCAGACATACCTGATATGTGGAAATATTTTGACCAACTTTTTGTCACCTGCAATACTGCTCCAGACTTCATTGGATACGGCGTTCCAACGGATCTCACGAAATAGTTCTGGAAGCCGCTCCGTTCCACCAGCATGTTCTGGGGAGCCTGCCCACTGCGCAATCGCCAAGATTACTTGATCCTCCGTTTGAACATTCAGGTCTTCACTTCTCACGACGTGGATCAAGGCGTCCAGAGAGAGTTTTGTAAAGGAGTCCCTTTGTATGAAATTCTGGAATGTGTCTTGCATTTTTCGGATGCAATCTCTTGCAAGTGAACCTAACTTTCCCCTTCTTGCTACATCCCATACAAAGTGGATATTATCTAGATTTAGACTAAGAAATTTGACTCAGAATAGATTGGGTACGTACAGAGAGTAGAGGAATTCCTCACACCATTTCGAAACTGTATCGAGCCCCAGGTCATTGGCGAGGCCTAGAATTCCCTCCACTGACTCTATCTCTATCTCAAGTTTTCCCGTATATGCATAGTCAATTATGGCTACGGCGGCCCTTCCCGTAGTTATAATTTTACTGAAATTGTGGTTACTTTGGAAGCCGGTCGGACTGGTTCCACATGAGGACCTTTTTAGAACTTTCATTCAGAAGCTCCTCTTTCAATGCTGGTATTCTCGCAACCAGTAAGACCCTGTGTCCTGCGCACCTCTCGCCATTAGATAGCTGGATGACACAACAGTAAATCAATAAGTGCAGCTAACCTCAATTTCCACGTCAGGAAACCTATTCGCCCTACGAAGTTCATCAAGAGCTGGCAAAACCCTATATAGTGGTAGGCTGTCTTCAAAAGTGTTTTGACGTGCCAGCATTTGTTGTGTCATCACCTTTCACCAAAGACCTTTTGCAGCCCTATGCAAGTTAGTGTTTGCCTTTATTGGGTTGAACCAATCACGTGTAAGCAAAACTACCATTGGCTGAATATTCGAGTGTTTCTGCTGATAGGACGAACGACAAAACCGGTAAATGCTTCACAAGGGCTTTCAAACCTTTATCTCAAAGGAAATCGTCTTGGCCCCATTGGCAGAGTTTTAGAATCGTCGCTATTTTGCAGGTTGCAGAGCAGTCTGCTCAGAATGAAGCTCTTCATTTACATGAAGAGATTGCTCACGTGAGTAATGCCCGCAGGTCGTGTTTAAAGTTAGACTGCATTTTTCGGATTTGCCAGGCTAAATTACTACCCGGGCGTCGTGGCACCTCACAGAGGCAGTAAGTTTCTCAGAAGGCCTTTTTAATTACCAGAATTTGTTGGATTTTCACTTCTTTGGATAAGTTTTCGGGTTAACTCTTCTAGATCATCGACTGATTGTGTGTCGTTCAAAATGATGGAGGCGTAAGCATCCACACGGGATGGGCGCTGACACCAATTCCGATGCCACTTAGCGTTCATATAATATCAGTATTTTTTGCCTGCTGATTGTTTTTTTTTCAATAACACTGTGGAATGATATTAGGGATCCGTCGGCCGTTCCTGTTTTTTTGCAGAAAGTGCACGTTTCTTATGCCAGCCAGGAATTTCTGTAGACCCTATAACTGCGGCGTAGTATTCTAATATATATTTCGGTACAGTGTTTTTCCAAATAAAGGCGATTGCCAAGTGGAATTCGCTTTAGGCCTAACGTAAATAATAGAGAAGCAGGAACATGCTTTTTAAAATTAAAAATGAGTTTACCGGGACGACCAATGCCCATTGTTTTCTCGTTATTAGAATACGAGCTGCACCAGTTCTCGTCAGCTGAGATAATTTCATAGCGGCTGCCGCCCTCCCTAACAAGTGGGCAACCCGCTGCGGCTACAAACATGCCACCCGCCTGGCCAAGATGCTGTCTTCGAGTGCCTCCAAGGACTCCTCGGAGGGCTGTAGGGGCGTCCAACTAAGGGATACAGCAATCTCTCGCTATATTGCGCTCCAATTTTTGCAGTTTCACTCTATCTCTGATTTTAGATGCAAACGAATCTAAATATATGTCGCGGATTTTTCGCTGGTTCGAGGATTTCTGCGGATATTTGGTCTTTTTATTTCTGGCACATGCTTCTTCAGTTGGTTTCCCAGTTTATTTCATATACGGGATGTTATTGGCTGCATTTTTGTTACAGTGTGTATTATTACAATCCGCTTGTAACTGTATTGCATAGCAAATACGCCGTAGATGATCTAGATCAACACTGAGAATAGATCGGAATTCTGCGAGCGTTATCAGGAATGCGCATCCATACCGAATGTCAACATTGGGAGGGGAGGATGATGGCGAGTCCAGGTGCAAACTCAGGCCACGCCAATTGGGATCTGAGGCGCCCCGCCTTTTTTTGAAAAAAATCGTAGTCAGTGTATGTTGTGGGTCGGGTACGACTTGAGGTGGGTTTTTGCTGTGCCGACCACCCGAGCCCTCTTCCGCAGCCGGTCATCTTGACTCAGTCATGACAGCGCGCCTACGTGAGTGAAGAGGAGAGAGTGCGGCAGATGCATCGTAAGCTCACTATCGCTATAAAAGAAATTGCGTCCAAGTCATCCGGCTGTGGAGGGCATGGTGAACATTGTCGGCTAAGACGGCCAGACTCACTCATTGCTTAGTAAATAAAGCTCCTCAATGATATACGATACGTGTATCTGTGCGTAAGAATTAAACGGCGTGAAGAAGGAGACACGATCGCCGGGACAAGAGCTTTATTAGCCTGACGTTTCGGATGCCTACTCGAATCCATCATCAGAGACAAACGGGTGGTTTTGCACAAGGGGCTGTGGTATTTATAGGATGCAGTAGCCATGCTACCGCATACCTATGAACATTCACGGCTCCCCCCTTCATCCGGTATCGTCGCACTTGGTGTGATCACTGCTTGATGGCCAACATTCGAGTCGATAATTCCTGCAATTTCATCACGTGCGAAGGATGTTGGCGTGATGATTGCTCGACCATCTGACGCACCGACCCCGGTGTTGGGAAAAGTGTTTACCTCTGCGCTCCCCGCATGGCTTGTTACTCTGCCTAGGCGAAATTTTAGCACGCAGTATGGAGTGGGAAGATCGTTGCACTTGTTGATGGACCGGGGGCCAGTAAACCATGATTCCAGTAGCTCCCGGCTCACGCGGTTGTCACCTCTTACGAGAACTTCGACCTCATCGAATTTGAATGTGTGGCCAGATCTCGTCGAATGAGCCGCAACTTGAGAGCTGGCGTCATATCTGCACACCGCTGCCGCGTGTTCGGCCATTCTCGTTCGGAGCTGTCTTCCGGTTTCTCCGAAGTGGTTGCTTTGTCCGCAACTGCGCCAGATCCGATAAACGACTCCAGACGTTTCTAACCGTGGCAGTGGGTTTTCGGTTTCATGATCAGACGCCTGATGGTTGCCTCCGATCTGTGTGCAACTCCAACCCCAAGTGGTGCGAGAAGGCGACCGACAGCTTCCGAAACGTTCCTGACATACGGAAGTGCCCGCCAAGATTTGGTGTCCGTGCGGTTAGGCCTTTCGCCCCTTTTGCGTATGCACCGGTCGACGAAGTTGCGCGGGTAGCCATTGGCTTTGAAGACCTGTCGGAGGTATTGTAGTTCGGCAATTTTGTCTTCCGGCTCATTGCAGTGCGTTTCGACACGCCGATAGAGCGTCCTTACACAACTGCGTATGTGGCTGATTGGGTGGTTGCAGTCGAATGTTCAGTACTTGCATCGTATTTGTCGCTTTCCTGAACACTTTGGTCTTTAATCCATCACAATCTTTGCGGCATACGAGGACATCCAGGAAGGCCAGCTGGTTGTTTTCCTCCTCCTCCTCCATCGTAAATTGAATGTCCGGGAAGACGGCGTTGAGATGTTCTTTGAATGTCAGCACCTGATCCCGTTCGATGACGACGAAGGTATCATCCACATACTGGGCCCAGAATTTCGGTCTGTGGTGTCGGATGACCAGCGACTCCAGCCGTTGTATGACCGCCTCGGCGATGAGTCCCGAAATCGGCGAACCCATTGGTGTGCCCTTCACCT